ACAGCACAGCCGTGCTTACTATATGCCCCGTCCCGTTCATGGCGAGAACACATAATCCCCAGCACCAACTGGTCTACCACTAAAAAGTGGGTGATTCATTGCAGGGCGCCAGTTTTGGCACACACCACTTTCTAGGAAAAGTGAAGAGCTTATTGGCTGTACAGATCGAACCTCCTCATCGCAAACCTCCTCGCATATCAAAATTGGACTCATCACTTGCCTTCGTTCATTTCCACAATTTTTGGAGGGGAAGCGGTTAGTACCGGTAGATGAGCTCGGAATACCATGGCATGCAACCGGAGGCCTTCCTGCTTCACTCACTGCCTCTGTGACATGAAGAGCTGGCTCTGATTGCACACTCCTACCGTTCATCCCCACATGCTTCTGCCCTCCAGCAATCGGCATTGCTGTCCTCGTTACAGTCACACCCATCCCTCCTCTCTGCTTGTGGCTGCTGCCTGTTCCATTCACCGTGGAAACCAAGCGTCCACCGCTGCGCATATCTCCTTCTCCATGATCCGGACTCCACGAATGCAGCCCACCCACCTTACACCACCCACTGTCCGGCGACCGAACAATCAGGTCCGAACTCGCCACTACACCTCCTCCCGTTTCCTGCTCCCTACTCCTCCTCCTCCTACCCTCGTCTGCTTCGCTGCGACGATCCATCCAGAGGCCAGGTTCGGAGCCCACGCGGCGAATTCGCCTACGATGTGTTTGCCGTGGCATGGGTGGGGAGCTGGGAGACTGCCAATAATACACCTCCTCTTGATGTTGGTCCCCACTCACTTCCAGAACTTGCTCAGCATTCACGTGATCAGGTTTCTGCTCCAGTCTTCCCTTAACGCCAGGTGATGCATGCGATGGGAGGTCAAACTTGGAAGCAGCAGGAGAATGGTCACACTTTCCTACCCCGGCCACCTCTGCTGCTGCTGCTGCCAGCTCTTGTGCTCGCTGTAGCTGTTTCGGCAGCTGCTGTGGTGGCAGTTGCACCTCCTGTGTTTCCAATCGCTGAGCTGGCAGCTTCTGCAGCGGAAGCTTCCCCGCAGCTTCCGGTTGAGCTGGCATTTCCGCCGACAGGTCCTGCAGTTGGGAGAACGACATGGATGAACGGTGGAAGCGAGGCGGGCCGTTGTCAAGACCGGAAAACAGCCGATGCTCTGAGGCAGGCACAAACTGGGGCGCACTCCCCTTGGGTCTAACAGTGACCAGACTTCCCACAGGGTCCGGGACAATGGGAATGCACCCTTCCGACAAGCTTCCGCAGGAATCGCCTCTCAGTGTCCTGCGTCTCCCAGGGTTCTTGAACGGCCCTTGCGATGCTGCTCTGCTTGCTCTCCCAGAGTCCTGCAGCGCCTCATTCGAGCCCTGGCGCGCTGGATGCGGCGGCGCTGCACCGTCTGTCATGGCCCCGTCAAGATACAACGCTGCGAAATCATCGTTAGGGGTGATGGAGTAATCGAGCGGCTCCGTCTCGTGCGTTCCTTCGGTCTGGCTGCGCCGCAGCAGCGGAGGCGCCGCGAGGGATGGCTCGGGGACGCTGGGACACGCCGGAACGCGCATTGGCGTCGATGCGCGGCCTGACACTTGATTCAACGTCCTCGACGACGGGAATGAGTTTAGGGATTTAATGCGGTGCGGCCGGGCAGCGGGGAGAATCGACCCCGGCCACAGGTGATGCTTCGGCGGCTTATTCGCCGCCGATCCTGCACCATTGGAACCGTCACGGTTCGATCCCGCGTCGCTTGGCGGCGTGCCGCTTGCAAATGGGCCAGTTCCCGGGCTCGCCGTGGGATGATCCCAAGGGTTGGCGGAGGGTCGTTTGGGGCGGAAGATAGGCGACACGGGAGCGTGCAATGAGCGAAAAATGGATCCCACGTTCCATCCGCCCGCGCTGCTGCTGCTGCTGCTGTTTAGAGACCACAAGGGACTGCTGCCGCCGCATTTGCCGCTGCTACTGCTGCTGCCACCGTGATAGAATGAAAATGACCCGCCGGCCACCGTTGCCGCTTCAGCCGGGGAGCAAGGGCTGCGCTCCGCCTTTTCGAGCGCCTCAAACGGGGAGCTGGGGCTGCGCTCCGCGATTCCCGGCGACTGCAGAGATCTCAGGTTGTCCGACGAGTTGCTGCTATTGGCGCGCAGCATCGGTCTTCCCCCTTGGAACCCGGCGGCGTGCGCGCCCGTGCTGTTCCGGCGGACATGATGGATTGCGCTGCTCAGGCTCCGCGCTCCACGTCCCCCGCTGCGCGGGCGTGTGTTGTCGCGCGCAGGACAATGCTTGTCTTCGCTCATCGATCGCTCGACCGCGCCGCGGAAGCTTCCGCCCACGAATGCGACGAATGCGCCGCCATTGATGCCTCCGTGTGGCCGGAGCGGGGACGGAGGCGGTCGATGCGGGGACGGAGGGGGGCGCTCGAGCGCGGGCGACGGCGTTGCATCCTCGGGGTTTTGATCTCTGTCGGTTGGCCTGTCCACGGCCCGGGAGACGTCGCGCCGCCCGCTCTGTCCGGCGCCAGCGCTCGCGCTGAAGCCGGGGGAAGCCGCGTAGGTCGTCATTTTTTTCATCGCTTGCGCTTCGCCCGCGCCGTCGGTCGCGTGCAGGCCGCCGCCTGCTTCTTCCGCCAGCCGCGTCGGTCGTACTACCGAACCCGCTTCCGCGGCGAAGTCGGCGCGGCGATGTGAGCTGCGCCGCGCGCCGGCTGACGAGTTCGGCCGCGTAGGAATCTCGCCAACGGCTGTTGCTAGTAGGGAAGGTGACCCGGCGGTATTGGCGCTTCCGCGCGCCCTTTCCGCAAGACTCCAATGATTCCCTGCCAGCGCCACGGTACTGTTCGGATTGGCATTGCCATTCCGCTGCCATTCGCGAGTGGAGAAAACGCTAGAGACGGGGCTGCGACCGCCGCTGTCGCATGCGACGCTGGTAACGCTCTTTGCGAAACTTTCGCTCGTGCCACCACTTCTCCCGTCGGTGCTCTCGTCGCTGCTCTCTGCACCGACGAGTGATGGGAATGCATCGAGCTCTATCGAGTCGCTGCTTGTGACAATGTCGAGGGGCGGGGGGCGTCTGAAGGGCGGGCGGAAGGACAATGTTAGCGACGCTGACGGGGAAGGGGGCCGGGGAACATCGGCGGAGCGCCTTCCGAAACTCCCCGGCAAACGGCCTCCAAGAACGACCATTTCGACGCTATTAGAGATATTAATTCGCGCAATATTGACTCAGTATGTGCGGGCTGAGGTAGCGACGAAAATGACTCCGTCTCAAATAAGTTGTAGTAGATGAGTCATAAGGCGCTTCGTGGGAAAATATTGCTTCTTCAAGGGGTCTGGACAGGTGTCATGGACCTGGTAGGCATGAGAGCGAGGATGCCCCAAAATTTGCACGTCTGGGAGCGGTGTTGCTGAAAGACGGCAGCAGTATGTATTGATGCCGTAGGCATGGTCGTAGCTTCTAGAAGTTCAACGAGCTAATTTCGGGCTAGAGACAGGTTTGGTTGGGTGAGTTCAGAAATGAATTCAGACTTCCTATTTTCCTTCAAATGCCCTTCGACGTCACGCAAAAGGAATCACAGCTGGCAGACCGAATGCTGTTGACCGAATGCACAAGTTGATTTGCTGCTGGGAGCTCTGGAGTCTTTCCTCATCTGCTCACGCGACCGTATATTAACGTACTCAACCGCATATCGCCCTACATCATCCAGTCTCAGTGCTCTGGCGTCAGGGACTCGCACGCATCGCATGATGGCCATCTTCAGGATGTGGGTGGGCACTGGGCAGGAGGCAGATGTTCCACAACGGGCACCAGCTGTTGTGGGGAGGAGGGCTGTTGTGTTGCGCAGAAACGGGCGGAGCGGATCCCCTCTATCAACAAAGATATTCGAGCGGCTGCGAACAGAAGGGGCTGCGATTTGAACAGATGGTGTATGCGTGTACGAGGATTGGTGAATCACGCTGAGGGAAACGGGGTTACGGGGAAAACGGGTTACGCAAATATCGTTCCGGGGGGAACGACATTCGCACGTTGCGTCGCACAAAGAACAAGCCGCTTATCACGAAGGATATGTATATAGATATAGGATCCCATCTTGTTGCGTCGTCGTCGTTGATCGCAAGACCAACAAGCCGCTTGTCACGTGTGGTAGTGACCGGCAAATCTGCGGTCACCTCGCTTCCGAGACTCTCGCTGATCCGTCGAACTCACGCAAGAAATCCCATTTGCCACTTGTGGTCGTGTAGTGGAGCACGACGGCGGCGCGACATGAAGCTGAATATGTGTACTGCCAAGCTCACTTGACCTGAAAAGTCTACGCTGATTCGCCAAGTCTACGCTGTATCTCTTCTGTCAGTTTTCATTGTGCACCAATGCCTTTTCACCGGAAACTCATTCACATTCCTCCCCCCATGCTTACAGCCTGCCCAACACCAAATTGGTGACGGAACTTCAGCATGGGTCATCATCATGCAGTTCTGCACTGTACGCACGACGCCTCCTTGCTTGCATTTTGTTCACTGACGTTTCATTTCCCTTGCTACAGTTCATCATTCCCTTCAGGTTCTGGCTCAAATCAATAACTGTACGCGATTGCACGTTGGCGATTAGGAGCTTCAGTAAGACGTCGCCTGCACCTGTGGGATTCTCATGCTGCTTATCTTTTGTTTTAGTCCAACTCTCCTACACCACTTCCTTTATCTTTCTTATTGTCCGACTCTCCTACATGTGGTCCACGTCCACATTAGCATACGATGAATGCTCTGCGTGAACGAAAGCATGGGCAGAGAGGAAATACAAACCCGTATATTCTTCCACACCGTGTAGCCAAGTATGACCGGCATCTTGTTAAACATGGCAAATTCATCACAATCAAATGAAAGCATCTTATCCAAACCATTCAAACAAAACTAGGATTCACGAAGTTCCAACTGTTAGCACTATCAAACCCCGACGTTCCAGGAAGCCTCGACGTCCCACGTATGTACATCTGTCATCCCGCTGTTGAACAACGTTACTTATCATCGAGCCACGCCTCCAATCTCAACCTCTGTTCTTCTCCTATCCTGTTACCATTGGGTAACTCTGAAGATCCACCCTCCTTTTTCCGCAGTGGTTGTTGAGACTGCCACAGCAGGCTGGGAGGAGAGATAAGCCTGAGCAACCGGCTTGATATGCTGGGGGAGGCGGAACAGGCAAGGGAGGAGAGAAGGGAGGATGGAAGGGGGATGTAAGGGGGGAGGGCAAGGCAAGACAGATGGGAGTGGTGAGGAGGATGGTAACTTTAGGAGCAGAAATTTCGAGGCGCCGCAAAAGGTGGAAGATGAAGTGGGGAAGAGACTACACTAGTGGAAGCACGAGATGCTGCCCGCCCCCCCCCCCCCCCCCCCCCCCCCCCCCCCCCCCCCCCCCCCCCCCCCCCCCCCCGCCCCCACCAAAATTCTGCCCGAACAATCTGCTTGCTTACTTGTGGATAGCATCTGCTTGCTCTCACCTGCTTTGTGCATCCCCCGTAGTAGCTGCCCCGATACTAGTCTCTTCAGCAGTGTCCTTAGCTCCTTCAATGATGAAAGCAAGCAGTGCTGCTGGCCCTGTTGCGGCCCTCCTCACACCTGCTCTCACCTTGCTTGTGCATCCCCTGTAGTAGCTGCCCCGATACTAGCATCTTCAGCAGTGTCCTCAGCTCCATCGTTGATGAAAGCAAGCAGTGCTGCTGGCCCCGTCAGCGCCCTCCTCACACCTGCCCTGTCAGCCACCGCCACCCGTGCTCCTGCCACGTCAGCACCAGAACCCATGGATGCCACGTCAGAGCTGGAAGCAACAGCTGCCACATCATCAGCGAGAGAAGCAGCTGCACTAACAACCACCTCCACCGCTCCTCCTCCTACTCCACCCCTCTCCACCACATCAACCCCTTCCCTTCTAGCCATCCCCTCTCCCTCTGCCGTCGTCCCTCCCTCTCCTGCCACCCCTCCCCCCCCCTCCCCTTTCCTTAACCCACTTCCTTCCCCCCCATCCACCACCTCCTCTTTGCTCCCCTCCCCACCCCCACTCCACAACACTCTCTCATCGCTCTGCTCCCGAGCAGCTGAGTCATTTGCACGGCCCAGCCCCTCCAGCCTCCCAGCAGTTTCCGGTCCTGCTCTCTCTGAGCGAGCCACCTCATGAGCAGACACCAGAGGCGTATCCACCTCGCAGGCTGCCTGAGCCCCCTCTGTGTGAGGCATGTCAGAAGCAGACATCACAGGCAAATCCGCCTCGTAGCCACCCCCCACCCTCTCACTGGAACCTGTCGGTGCACCGTCCCCACTGCCACCTCTCACACCATCCACCTCACCTGCAACACCCGCAACACCCGTAACCGCACCCCCGGCAGCACATGACAGTGCGCCCCCCTCTGAAGGCAGGGCACGCGCGTGAGAGAGGTCTCTGGCGGCACGCGCGGAGGGGAGGGAAGGAGGCGGCACATCTTTGAAGCCGCGCAGGGAGGGCAAGAGGGGCGCCATGTCCTTGCCCACCCCTTGTGACTTTTGAGTCGACTCAAAAGGCGCCATGTCCTTGCCCACCCCTTGTGACTTTTGAGTCGACTCAAAAGGCGCCATGTCCTTGCCCACCCCTTGTCCTTGTCCTTGTCTTTGCCCCACCGGCACCGCCGCCACGTCTTTGGCGCCGCGCAGGGACGGCAGGAGGGGCTTCGCGGCGGCCAGGCGCGCCAGCATGCGCTGCAGGGATGCCGGCCCGCCAGCTGTCATGCTGCGCGCGATGACGTGGCAGTCCGCCACGTCAGCGCCGGCGAACTCGGCCTCTCGTGAGCAGGCGAGCGTGTCGGCCTGGTTGGGTGATGGGGGTGATGGGGGGGATGGGGCTGATGGGGGTGATGGGGGTGATGGGGCTGATGGGGGGTGATGGGGGGGATGGGGTGATGGGGGGGATGGGGGTGATGGGGGTGATGGGGGGGATGGGGGTGATGGGGGGCGATGGGGGGCGATGGAGGGAAGGGGCAGAGTGGTTACCTTGAAAGCCATGGGGGGCCAGGTAGACTTGCATACATGCGCTGCTGCATGGCAGTGTGCAGGCACACTCTGCCTGGGATCGTGCTGTCAAGAGAGGACAGGTGGGCACACTCTGCCTGGGATCGTGCTGTCAAGAGAGGACAGGTGGGCACACTCTGCCTGGGATCGTGCTGTCAAGAGAGGACAGGTGGGCACACTCTGCCTGGGATCGTGCTGTCAAGAGAGGACAGGTGGGCACACTCTGCCTGGGATCGTGCTGTCAAGAGAGGACAGGTGGGCACACTCTGCCTGGGATCGTGCTGTCAAGAGAGGACAGGTGGGCACACTCTGCCTGGGATCGTGCTGTCAAGAGAGGACAGGTGGGCACACTCTGCCTGGGATCGTGCTGTCAAGAGAGGACAGGTGGGCACACTCTGCCTGGGATCGTGCTGTCAAGAGAGGACAGGTGGGCACACTCTGCCTGGGATCGTGCTGTCAAGAGAGGACAGGTGGGCACACTCTGCCTGGGATCGTGCTGTCAAGAGAGGACAGGTGGGCACACTCTGCCTGGGATCGTGCTGTCAAGAGAGGACAGGTGGGCACACTCTGCCTGGGATCGTGCTGTCAAGAGAGGACAGGTGGGCACACTCTGCCTGGGATCGTGCTGTCAAGAGAGGACAGGTGGGCACACTCTGCCTGGGATCGTGCTGTCAAGAGAGGACAGGTGGGCACACTCTGCCTGGGATCGTGCTGTCAAGAGAGGACAGGTGGGCACACTCTGCCTGGGATCGTGCTGTCAAGAGAGGACAGGTGGGCACACTCTGCCTGGGATCGTGCTGTCAAGAGAGGACAGGTGGGCACACTCTGCCTGGGATCGTGCTGTCAAGAGAGGACAGGTGGGCACACTCTGCCTGGGATCGTGCTGTCAAGAGAGGACAGGTGGGCACACTCTGCCTGGGATCGTGCTGTCAAGAGAGGACAGGTGGGCACACTCTGCCTGGGATCGTGCTGTCAAGAGAGGACAGGTGGGCACACTCTGCCTGGGATCGTGCTCGCACGATTGGATCGGATATATCCACGCTGCTCGTTCATGCACTGCGATCCCCCTTGCGCGGCGATCCCCCTTGCGTACCTATCTTCCATCAAAACCTTGAGAGTCACGAGCGCAGGCACACTCCCATGCACGCGCCGCAGCCACCTTACTACCCACCCACCCGAGTCCCCACCTTGAGCGCCACGAGCGTGGGAACAGAGTCCTTACCCACCCGCGAGCGCCGCTGTCAACGCCTCTCCCACCTTTGACCCTACCTGCAGCCACCCTATCCACCCACCAGAGTCCTCACCTTGAGCGCCACGAGTGCAGGCACAGCGGCGTGCACGCGCTGCTGCACGCCCGCGAGCGCTGCTATTTGCGAGCAACCATCACTGCAACCCCACCGTACAGAGTTCTCACCTTGAGAGCCACGAGCGTAGGTACGTTCCCATGCACGCGCTGCTGCACTCCCGCGAGCGCCGCTGACGGCTCGTGCGCCGTGAGGAGCAGCAGATCCGCCAGACGCGCGTGCACTGCGGGAAGGAGGGGCGGAGGAGGCGGCGCGGGAGGAAAGGAACGGTTGACACAAGGGGTGGGGAGGAACGTGTAACAACTGCGATGCGCCTCAGCATAAGACTCTTGCACCCCTCTCCGTCACTCTCCGCCGCTCTCCGCTCCTCTCAGCCCGTCCCCACCCTTTTCCGCGCGACTAATTTCCCCCACTCCCCGCCACAGCGCGTGCGCGGCGCCCTCGGCGCACCTTGCTGCGCGGACGGCGCCTCCGCCACGCGCGGAGGCATGGCGGCCTGCGCGGACGAGTCAGGTCATGGCGGAGCTGCGCGGAGTTGCGAGGGGTTGCGCGGGACGCGCCTCTCCCAGTCGAAGCCAAAGCCTTCCTCTCGAGAAATGCTGCCGCGATGCGCGGATGTGGGGGATGTGCGGAAGGAGTGCTTCCTTTGGGTATCGGGAGGTGAACTGGCAGGAGTTGCGCATCAGGCGCCTGAAAAGAAATTCCGATGACAAAAAGAGGGAAAAACAACTTGTCGCATCACTTGGGAAGACCAAGTCATCGCACGAATTCATTTGGGCGCCATCCTCGTCGTTTCCACCAATCCCAAGCGCACATCCCTGTTGCCGTCCGCAGCGCATTTCGAGACCAGGAAATGTCATTCCGACGGCCGGCAGGCGTTCTCGTCCCAACGTGTCAGTACGAGATAACAGTAGTGTTTTGAGACGTCTCAAAACACTACTGTTATCACGTTCCAATCCAACGCTCAGCACAACCGCTCATTCAAACCTCCCCTGTTCAAGGGGAGCAAGTCCTTCGCTGCCTGCCTGACCTGGAAACGCGAGTCACCCTCAGTCCTTGCGAGGATTGACGAAGTCACCATAAACACCGTCAATCCTTGCAAGACGACCTTTGACGGTTTATGGTGAGCAAGTCACGGTCTCACAAGTCAGCCCTAAAAAGACATCCCAAGCCATGCTGCCGCTGCTTGTCGCCCGCTTCTCGCCCTCCCCCCCTGCTCTCTCACCACCATCCTTCCCGCCGGCCCACAGGCTTCACCCTTCGTCCCTCAGGCCCCTCCTGCCCTCCCCGCCTGCCCTCTTGCCCCCGTCTCTCCCGCTTTCCCATACGCCTCGCCCTTCACCCCTCTCGCCCCCATCACCCCTCCACCTCTCGCCCTCTCCCGCCCCTTTTCTCCTCTTCCCCCGGCCCTTCTCTCGAGTCAAGAAGCTTCACCCCTCCATCGTCTCACCCTCTTGCTCTCCCTCCTTGCTCTTCCCCCTTCCTGTTGTCTCACCCTCAACGTATCACCACCTTCCCGCCTCCAGCCCCAACAGGCTCTGTTGCTGCTCCTTCTCTCCATCCTCCTCTCCCTCCTTCTCCTCGCCCTCCTCATCCCCCTCCTCCTCTTCCACTGCCCCCCACCCCTCACCCCAAAGCCCTGAAATATCCACCCATAAACCCCACAACCCCAGCCCCAATTCCCTCACCCATGATTGGCTGAAACGCCTCTTCCTCTCGCGCGATTGGCTGCTATCTCCCGCCAAAGCCACTCCCCACATCACCCAAGTGCTTCTCGGGCCAACACTACAACACGCCTGGCCCAGAATCCATAGAATACCTCGGAGGAGCAAGGAACACCTGGGTGAAGAGCATGAGCTTTCTATAAATAGAATACCAGCTCATGGGCTTCCTATTAATAGTATACCTGCAGGTTCGGTGGCTGCTGTTGGTGCTGGTTCTGGGAAGAACAGCGTTCCTCCCTCTCAGCTCATCTGCACCGTTGATGTGATCCGGGACGATCTCATCCATCCGTTGGCGGGCGGCAACAAGCTGCGCAAGCTGGACGGGCTGCTGCCGCCCGTTATCCAATCCGGGGCGACTGACGTGGTATGTCGGCGGGGTAATGATCGGGTTTGACCCGATCATAGTTCATGCCCGTTAATGCATTAACAGGCGATCTTAGTTGCACACCAGCTCGAATCACCCGTCATCCTTCCCGTTCCATCCCCCTCCTCACATCTCTCCTCTCCCTCCTGTCTCCTACCGCTCTCCCCCCAGGTCACGTGTGGGGGCTGTCAAAGCGCACACACTGCAGCTGTGGGTGAGGCATGTTCTCCTGCTTCTAGCGTTGCACATTGCTGCTCGGGTTCGAAGCAACTCGGAACAGTTTGGTGCTGCTTGGCTAGTTACTCGGAACAATCCGTGTTACTGTCTGGTGCAATGTTGGTGCTCTGCAGTACATACAGCTCTACAGCCAAACCCATTCTCCTAAACCCCTTCTCCTCTTCTCCCCTTGACTCCAGCCGTGGCGTGTGCAGAGAGGGGCCTTAAAGCCCACCTCGTGCTAAGGGGAGAGCCGCCCAAAGTTCCTACGGGAAACACCCTCGTCTCGCACATGTTCGGCTGCCCGAAATACGTTTCCCGGGCAGAATACGCGGACCGGGAGAAGGCGCTTCTTTCTCGGGCAGCTGCGGTGGCTGGGGAAGAGGGGACGGTTCAATGGGGTGCTGGCCCTGCCACCACATCATCCATGAAGTTTGGTGTGTCAGCAGCTGGAGCAGCCACGTCAGCAGCTAAAGATGCCACGTCAGGGTTGAGTGACACGTCAGCAGGGATGTATGAGTCAGCAAAGGGGCATCCACGTGTGGCAATCATCCCTGAGGGTGGATCGGATGGGCTGGCTCTGCTGGGTGAGTCAACCCTGGTCAAACCGAGTCAACCCTGGTCAAACCGAGTCAACCCTGGTCAAACTGAGTCAAGCCTGGTCAAACCGAGTCAACCCTGGTCAAACCGAGTCAACCCTGGTCAAACTGAGTCAAGCCTCCCAACTCCTTCTGTTAGCCCACCCGCTCCATTGCACTTCCCCTTCCCTACTCTCCACCGCACCTCCTTGCCTCATTACCATCCTCCGTGCTCCGCACTGCAGGTGCTCCGTCTCACTCGCTCCTGCCCCAGTTCTCCCCCCCTTCCCCAGGCCTCCTGCGCCTGGTACATCTGCTCTCAGAGCAAGACAGGGAGCATGAGCAGACGCAAGCAGGGCACAAGGAGCAGCGGAGGCGAGTGGTGGTGGTGGACAGTGGCACGGGCACCACTGCCGTTGGCTGTGCTCTTGCTGTTCATCTGCTGGGGTGAGGCGCACTAGTTCTCATGGGGTGAGGCACCACTGCTTCCTCTTCTTTACTTTTGTTCCCCCACGCCCTACCCTGCCATCCCATCATCCCAACACCCAGCCTGCCCTGGCTCGTGGTGGGGGTAACTCTAGCAGGCACCACTGCTTCCTGTGCTTCACCTTTGCCCCCACCTGCCCTACCCTGCCTCCTCTGCTGTACCTTTCCTCCCTACCCTGCCGTCCCATCACCCCATCATCCCAACACCCAGCCTGCCCTGGCTCGTGGTGGGAGTAACTCTAGCAGGCACCACCGACTACTACACTGCACAGCAGGAAAATCTGCTCAGAAGCTTCGCGGACCAGCTCCCCTTTCTGCTTTCTCAACCAGAAGCGCCATTGCCTGTGACTGGCCGAGGCCAGGAGGAGGATTCTGATAGCACCTCAACAGAGGCAGCAGAAGGGGCAGGGGTGGCAGAAATGGCAGAGGCGGCAGAGAGGGCAGAAGAAGCAGAGGGGGCAGAGGCAGCAGGGGAGGTGGGGCGAGCACAGCAGCAGCTGTCTGCCTGTGCCGGCGCCCTTCCCCTCGTCTGGGTGCCGCGAGAGACGCCCCGCCGGTACGTCCCATGCATTACCACCCTCCCCCCTCCGCATGCTGCGAGTTCATGCAGGCAACAGGCATCCCCATCGACCTTATCTATACCCTCACTGCCTGGTTGTGACATGTCTCAAAGTGAGACTTCTCCTCCACTCCTTCCCTGGCAGCTTTGGCAAGGTTCTACCGGGTGAAATCTCCCAGTGCTGTGAGTTCATGCGAGCAACAGGCATCCCTATTGACCCCATCTACACACTAGCTGCCTGGGAGGTAGCACACGCTTTACCACGCTCCTTCACACTCACTCAGGCTCTAGGGCAAGCCAATGGAGGAGAGACACGTGGGCACGGGCTGGCAAATGAAGGGGACGCTGGAAAGCCTTCTGAGTCTTGTCAACAGCAGGCTGAGGGGCAGAAGCAGCGCTCCCGAGGGCCGAGGGATCCGAGCCATGACGAACAGCTTGCTGAAACGCTTGCTCAGGCTCTGCTTCCGAAGCTGGGCGAGTGGCTCGGGAGCACGCATGTGGTAGGAGACCGTGGAGGAGAGGAAAGGAGCAGCGTTGTTAGCACAGATGATGTTCGTGCAACTGCTGCTGCTGCTGCTGACACCCATGCTCATGCTGATGATATTGCTACGGAAAGCGGTACCATCACCATCACAGTACTGCACACGGGCGGGACTCTAGATATGTTTGGGCTGGCACAGCGCTTCCCTGCCGAATTCTCTCCCAAGGATTGAGACCAGGCTGAGCCATCCTGATTCCTACTGCTTATCTTATGTTGCATGAGTTGCGATGGGCCTCGTGCTGAGTTAACCTAAGCATGGATCGAAGAGTTCGACAGCTCAGCCGTCCATGCCATGCCGCACACGAAAGGTGTTAGTAGCCAAAGCCTTTATGCCGTGTGTTCATGAGTTCAGTTGAGGTGTATCCTTGCAGTAAGCCTCGCAAGCCGTTTGCATGCATATCAGAAAACACCCCAGGTCCACCAGCAGGCATGGTAACCGCCGGCATGAAGCAATCAATTCTACGCAAGGTGTTTCTATTACAGCAAAGCTGAAACAAATCTGAACCTCACAGGCAGTTGTCCTGGAGATCTACGAGCACCCGCCAGCCGGCATCGGCAGTGGTATCAACCGGCAGCAGGAAATCATCCCCCGAAACATTGTCCTTACAAAAAGCTGAGCTAAATGCATATAGCAGGCGTGTGGTTTGCAGAGAGAAGAGAGATCCGAAGGAGCCCTGGTACATGTCAGCCTGCGCGCTGATGGCCATGGTTACCAGGTTCAGCACCTGCTGGAAGGTCCCTTGGGGGCGCCTCAAAAGACGCTGATGGCCATGGTTACCAGGTCCAGCACCTGCTGGAATGGAAGGTCTTCTAAGGGCGCCTCAAAGATCACTGATGGCCATGGTTACCAGGTCCAGCACCTGCTGGAGTGTCCTTTGGGGGCGCCTCAAAAGACGCTGATGGCTATGGTTACTAGGTCCAGCACCTAAACACGCCACACCCCTCTTCTTCCCTCCCCCTCCCATCGCCCCTCCCCCTTCCACTTCCTCACAAGCCGTTGTCCTGTAAATCTAGCAACACCTGCCAGCCAGCATCAGCAGTCGTATCAACAGGCAAAAGGAAATCATCTCCCAAAGCAGCATCCCTGCATGAAGCTGTGCTAAAAGCATAGCGCAGGCGCATGGTCTGGAGAGAGAAGAGAGACCCGAAGGAGCCCTGATACATGTCGGCCTGCGCGCTGATCGCCATGGTTACCAGGTCTAGCACCTGCTGGAAGGTTCCTGGAAAGCGCTTGAGGATGCGCTGGTGGAAGGAGCGCGGGAAGATGAAGCGGACCGGATCGCCGTTGATCTCCCACAGCTTGTACCATGCCTCTCGGACCTGCCAATAAGGGGGATGACACAGCAAAGTGGATTGAAAAAGGAGAGGAACCGGCGAATGGATCGAGCTAGCTGTTTCAGTTCCCCAAAGCTTGCACCGCACTTTCTCCACAGCTTGTACGGCACTTCCCACACCGGAAGCTCCAACCCACCTCATACAGTCACCACGCCCTTCGAAATGAATTCACCGTGCCATGCAGGTACAGCTCTCCTTCACGATGGGGCGCGGATCTTTCAGGCGCGCGCCCGGGCCAAGGCGCGTGCCCGGACCAAGGCGCGCGCCTGGGCCAAGGCGCGCGCCTGGGCCAAGGCGCGCGCCCGGGCCAAGGCGCGCGCCCGGACCAAGGCGCGCGCCCGGACCAAGGCGCGCGCCCGGACCAAGGCGCGCGCCCGGACCAAGTCGCGCGCCCGGACCAAGTCGCGCGCCCGGACTAAGTCGTGCCCCCGGACCAAGTCGCGCGCCCGGACCAAGGCGCGCGCCCCGACCAAGGCGCGCGCCCGGACCAAGGCGCGCGCCCTGACCAAGTCGTGCGCCCGGACCAAGTCGCGCGCCCGGACCAAGGCGCGCGCTCGGACAAACGCGCGCCCGGACCAAGGCGGGCCTCCGGACCAAGGCGCGCCCCTGGACCAAGGCGCGCCCCCGGACCAAGGCGCGGGCCCGGACCAAGTCGCGCGCCCGGACCAAGGAGCGCGGCCGGACCAAGGCGCGCGCCCGGACCAAGGCGCACGCCCGGACCAGGGCGCGCGCCCGGACAAACGCGCGCCCGGACCAAGGCGCGCGCCCGGGCCAAGGCGCGCGCCCGGACCAAGGCGCGCGCCCGGACCAAGGCGCGCGCCCGGACCAAGGCGCGCGCCCGGACCAAGGCGTGCGCCCGGACCAAGGCGAGCCCCCGGACCAAGGCGCGCCCCCGGACCAAGGCGCGCGCCCAGACCAAGGCGCGCGCCCGGAGCAAGGCGCGCGCCCGGACCAAGGCGCACGCCCTGACCAAGGCGCGCGCCCGCACCAAGGCGCGCGCCCGGACCAAGGCGCGCGCCCAGACCAAGGCGCGCGCCCGGACCAAGGCGCGCGCCCGGACCAAGGCGCGCGCCCCGACCAAGGCGAGCCCCCGGACCAAGTCCAGCCCCCGGACCAAGGCGCGCGCTCGGACCAAGACGCGCGCCCGGACCAAGGTGCGCGCCCGGACCAAGTCGCGCGCCCGGACCAAGGCGCGCGCCCGGACCAAGGTGCGCGCCCGGACCAAGGCGCGCGCCCCGACCAAGGCGAGCCCCCGGACCAAGTCCAGCCCCCGGACCAAGGCGCGCACCCGGACCAAGGCGCGCGCCCGGACCAAGGCGCGCGCCCGGACCAAGGCGCGCGCCTGGACCAAGGTGCGCGCCCGGACAAACGCGCGCCCGGACCAAGGCGCGCGCCCGGGCGTAGGCGCGCGCCCGGACCAAGGCGCGCGCCCGGACCAAGGCGCGCGCCCGGACCAAGGCGAGCCCCCGGACCAAGGCACGCCCCCGGACCAAGGCGCGCGAACGGACCAAGGCGCGCGCCCGGACCAAGGCGAGCGCCCGGACCAAGGCGCGCACCCTGACCAAGGCGCGCGCCTGGACCACGGCGCGCGCCCGGACCAAGGCGCGCGCCCGGACCAAGGCGCGCGCCCGGACCAAGGCGCGCGTCCGGACCAAGGCGCGACTCCGGACCAAGGCGCGCGCCCGGACCAAGGCGCACGCCCGGACCAAGGCGCGCGCCCCGACCAAGGCGAGCCCCCGGACCAATTCCAGCCCCCGGACCAAGGCGCGCGCCCGGACCAAGACGCGCGCCCGGACCAAGGCGCGCGTCCGGACCAAGGCGCGCGCCCGGACCAAGGCGCGCGCCCGGACCATAGCGGCCGCCCGGACCAAGGCGCGCGCCCCGACCAAGGCGAGCCCCCGGACCAAGTCCAGCCCCCGGACCAAGGCGCGCACCCGGACCAAGGCGCGCGCCCGGACCAAGGCGCGCGGCCGGACCAAGGCGCGCGCCCGGACCAAGGCGCGCGCCCGGACCAAGTCGCGCGCCCGGACCAAGTCGCGCGCCCGGACCAAGGCGCGCGCCCGGACCAAGGCGCGCGCCCGGACCAAGGCCGCACCCGGACCAAGGCACGCGCCCGGACCAAGGCGCGTGCCCGGACCAAGTCGCGCGCCCGGACTAAGGCGCGCCCCCGGACCAAGGCACGCGCCTTGACCAAGGCGCGCCCCCGAACCAAGGCGCGGGCCCGGACCAAGTCGCGCGCCCGGACCAAGGCGCGCGCCCGGACCAAGGCGAGCCCCCGGACCACGTCCAGCCCCCGGACCAAGGCGCGCGCCTGGACCAAGGCGCGCGCCCGGACCAAGGCGCGCGCCCGGACCAAGTCGCGCGCCCGGACCGAGTCGCGCGCCCGGACCGAGTCGCGCCCCCGGACCAAGTCGCGCGCCCGGACCAAGGCGCGCGCCCGGACCAAGTCGCGCGCCCGGACCAAGTCGCGCCCCCGGACCAAGTCGCGCGCCCGGACCAAGTCGAGCCCCCGGGCCAAGTCGCGCGCCCGGACCAAGGCGCGCACCCGGACCAAGGCGCGCGCCCGGACCAAGTCGCGCGCCCGGACCAAGTCGCGCCCTCGGACCAAGTCGCGCGCCCGGACCAAGGCGCGCACCCGGACCAAGGTGCGCGCCCGGACCAAGGCGGGCCCCCGGACCAAGGCACGCGCCTTGACCAAGGCGCGCCCCCGGACCAAGGCGCGGGCCCGGACCAAGTCGCGCGCCCGGACCAAGGCGCGCGCCCGGACCAAGGCGAGCCCCCGGACCAAGTCCAGCCCCCGGACCAAGGCGCGCGCCTGGACCAAGGCGCGCCCCCGGACCAAGGCGCGCGCCCGGACCAAGGCGCGCGCCCGGACCAAGGCGCGCGCCCGGACCAAAGCGGCGCCCGGACCAAGGCGGCGCCCGGACCAAGGCACGCCCCCGGACCAAGGCGCGCCCCCGGACCAAGTCGCGCGCCCGGACTAAGTGGCGCGCTCGGACCAAGTCGCGCGCCCGGACCAAGTCGCGCACCCGGACCAAGTCGCGCGCCCGTATGAAGTCGCGCGCCCGGACCAAGTCGCGCGCCGGGACCAAGTCGCGCCCCCGAATCAAGGCGCGCCCTCGGACCAAGGCGCGCGCCCGGACCAAGTCGCGTACCCGGACCGGACCAAGGCGCGCGCCCAGACCAAGGCGCGCGCGCGGACCAAGGCGGCGCCCGGACCAAGGCGCGCCCCCGGACCAAGGCGCACCCCCGGACCAAGGCGCGCGCCCGGACCAAGTCGCGCACCCGGACCAAGGTGCGCGCCCGGACCATGGCCCGCGCTCGGACCAAGGCGCGCGCCCGGACCAAGGCGCTCGCCCGGACCAAGGCGCGCGCCCGGACCAAGGCGCGCGCCCGGACCAAGGCGCGCCCCCAGAGCAAGGCGCTCGCCCGGACCAAGGCGCGCGCCCGGACCAAGGCGCGCGCCCGGAGCAAGGCGCACGCCCGGACCAAGGCGCGCACCCGGACCAAGGTGCATCCCCGGACCAAGGCGCGCGCCCGGACCAAGGCGCGCCCCCGGACCAAGGCGCACCCCCGGACCAAGGCGCGCGCCCGGACCAAGGCGCGCGCCCGGACCAAGGCGGCGCTCGGACCAAGGCGGCGCCCGGACCAAGGCACGCCCCTGGACCAAGGCGCGCCCCCGGACCAAGGCGCGCGCCCGGACCAAGGCGCGCGCCCGGACAAAGGCGCGCGCCCGGACCAAGGCGCGCGCCCGGACCAAGGCGCGCCCCCAGAGCAAGGCGCTCGCCCGGACCAAGGCGCGCGCCCGGACCAAGGCGCGCGCCCGGAGCAAGGCGCACGCCCGGACCAAGGCGCGCACCCGGACCAAGGCGCATCCCCGGACCAAGGCGCGCGCCCGGACCAAGGCGCGCCCCCGGACCAAGGCGCACCCCCGGACCCAGGCGCGCGCCCGGACCAAGGCGCGCGCCCGGACCAAGGCGGCGCCCGGACCAAGGCGGCGCCCGGACCAAGGCACGCCCCCGGACCAAGGCGCGCCCCCGGACCAAGGCGCGCGCCCGGACCAAGGCGCGCGCCCGGACAAAGGCGCGCGCCCGGACCAAGGCGCGCGCCCGGACCAAGGCGCGCGCCCGGACCAAGTGGCGCACCCGGACCAAGTCGCGCGCCCGGACCAAGTCGCGCACCCGGACCAAGTCGCGCGCCCGGATCAAGTCGCGCGCCCGGACCAAGTCGCACGCCCGGACCAAGTCGCGCCCCCGGATCAAGGCGCCCCCCTGAACCAAGGTGCGCGCCCGGACCAAGTCGCGCGCCCGGACCAAGGCGCGCGCCCGGACCAAGGCGTGCCCCCGGACCAAGGCGCGCCCCCGGACAAAGGCGCGCGCCCGGACCAAGGCGCGCGCCCGGACCAAGGCGCGCCCCCGGACCAAGGCGCGCCCCCGGACCAAGGCGCGCCCCCGGACCAAGGCGCGCGCCCGGACCAAGGCGCGCGCCTGGACCAAGGCGCGCCCCCGGACCAAGGCGCGCCCCCGGACCAAGGCGCGCCCCCGGACCAAGGCGTGCGACCGGACCAAGGCGCGCGCCCAGACCAAGGCGCGAGCCCGGACCAAGGCGGTTCCCCGGACCAAGGCGGGCGCCCGGACCAAGGCACGCGCCCGGACCAAGGCGCGCGCCCGGACCAAGGCGCGCGGCCGGACCAAGGCGCGCGCCCGGACCAAGGCGCGCGGCCGGACCAAGGCGCGCGCCCGGACCAAGGCGCGCGGCCGGACCAAGGCGCGCGCCCGGACCAAGGCGCGCGCCCGGACCAAGGCGCGCGCCCGGACCAAGGCGGCGCTCGGACCAATGCGCGCCCCCGGACCAAGGCGCGCCCCTGGACCAAGGCGCGCGCCCGGACCAAGGCGCGCGCCCGGACCAAGCCGCGCGCCCGGACCAAGGCACGCGCCCGGACCAAGGCACGCGCCCGGACCAAGGCGGCGCGCAGACCAAGGCGGCGCCCGGACCAAGGCGGCGCCCGGACCAAGGCGCGCCCCCGGACCAAGGCGCGCCCCCAGACCAAGGCGCGCGCACGGACCAAGGCGCGCGCCCGGACCAAGGCGCGCGCCCGGACCAAGGCGCGCGCCCGGACCAAGGCGCGAGCCCGGACCAAGGCGCGCGCCCGGACCAAGGCGGCGCCCGGACCAAGGCGCGCGCCCGGACCAAGGCGCGCGCCCGGACCAAGTCGCGCGCCCGGACCAAGTGGCGCGCCCGGATTAAGTCGCGCGCCCGGACCAAGTCGCGCACCCGGACCAAGTCGCGCGCCCGGATTAAGTCGCGCGCCCGGATTAAGTCGCGCGCCCGGACCAAGTCGCGTGCCCGCGCCCGTACCAAGGCGCGCGCATGGACCAAGCCACGCGCTCGTACCACGGCGCGCGCCCGGACCAAGTCGCGCGCCCGGACCAAGGGGCGCGCCTGGACCAAGGCGCTCGCCCGGACCAAGGCGCGCCTCCGGACCAAGTTGCGCCTCTGGACCAAGGCGCGCGCCCGGACCAATGTGCGCGCCTGGACCAAGTCGCGCGCCCGGACCAAGTCGCGCGCCCGGACCAAGTCGCGCGCCCGGACCAAGGCGCGCGCCCGGCCAAGGTGCGCGCCCGGAACAAGGCGCGCGCCTGCGCTTGGACCAAGGCGCGCGCCTGCGCCCGGACCAAGCCGCGCGCCCGGACCAAGTCGCGCGCCTGGACCAAGCCGCGCGCCCTGACCAAGGCGCGCGCCTGGACCAAGGCGCGCGCCCGGACCAAGTCGCGCGCTTGGACCATGTCGCGCGCCTGGACCAAGGTGCGCGCCTGGACCAAGTCGCGCGCCTGGACCAAGTCGCGCGCTTGGATCAAGTCGCACGCCTGCACCAAGTCGCGCGCCTGGACCTAGTAGCGCGCTTGGACCAAGTCGCGCGCTTGGACCAAGGTGTGATCCAATGCAGTCATGCACCATCTAGCACCAAGCATCATCCCACCTCTTGATCCAATGCGTCGGTTACAAGAAAGAGCTGTCGAATGCCAGATGCTGATAGCGCACCAAGTAGCAACCCACCTTATACAGTCATGTACCATCCAGCACCGAGCAACCATCCCACCTCTTGATCTGATGCGTCGGTGACAAGAAGGAGCCGTCGAATGCTCGAGGCTGACATCTTGCGCCACAAGCTACCCGCCACCTCATGCAGTCACATGCCTTTTAGGAACCAACCAACCCTCCTCATACAGTCACACACCATCACGCACCAAGTGACCCACCTCTTGATCCGATGCATCGGTGACAAGAAAGAGCCTTCGAATGCCCGAGGCCGACAGCTTGCGCCACAAGCAACCCGCCACCTCAGCAACCGATAGCTGGCAGGCACGGTTACCAACGCCTTTAATGTAACCCCCATCGCCGTCACCACCACCATCACCACTACTACTGCTGCTGCTTCCGCTGCTGCTGCTGGTATTGGTTTTCGTACTATCCTCAATGCTTCTCAACCCTCTTCTCTTGCCTTTCTTCACAAACCCAATGTTGGACTTCGACTCCTTATCTGCTGCAGCTGCTCTTGCTGCTGCTGCATCTGCATCCCCACCCAAGTCGCACCAAAGCAGACCCTCCAACCCAGCCCTCTTCTCATAATTCACCGCTATAAACGGGACTTTCGCCCCGTCACTGCCCGAGAAGAAAGTTTTCTGGATCTCCTTTGCCAGCCGCAGCACCTTCCGGTTGGGCAGGAGCGTGTACGGGTTCGGGCAGCCCGGCGAGCGAACGAACGGCGCATCCCCTGGAAAGTTGACCAGATTCGGAGCATCTGGGACCTCCCAGAACGCGTAGAGCAAGTCCCCCACAAACAGCACCCGTGCAGAGCGAACCTCCGGCGCAGTGTAGACCGAGAGGAACGACCGGAGAGGGGACCGCCGAGTGAGGTTTGCAAAGAGGGCGGTTCGTGGAAAGGTGAGGTCGGGGCGGGCTCGGAACCTCTTGGGGAGAACCGACTTGTCCTTGTACCAGGGCACAAGAGCGTCAATCACAATGGGATGTGCTGTTTCTTCGGGGTCGAAACCCTCTTCAGTCGAAGGATTCTCCTCGTCTTCTGACAGCTTCGATTTTGTTTCCTTATCCTTCTTCTTCTTCTTCTTCTTCCCCTTGAGAAGCCGCCTCCATTGGACCGTCTCTGCTTCTCCCTCTCTCCTCCCTTCTCCATCAACATCCCCTGCGCTTCGCCTCTCTTCCTCTTCCTCGTCCTCCTCCGTCAACCCCTCCCCCCCTTCCACTTCCCCTTCTCTCACCGCCAAACCAGCATCGCCCTGACCAACCAGCATCCTCCTCCTCCCCTCCTCCTCACCCTCCCCTCCTCCCCCTTTCCCCCTCTCCCTCGCTCTCCACTCGTGCGCCAGCAGCACAGTGTCCTCGCCATAGCACATCCTCAGATGCCCAATGTCTACAGCCAGCTCCCACGAGTGCTCGCCCCGCACGCCCTTGGAGTGGAAGCGGCCCACCAGCAGAGTGCGGTTGAGCAGCCCTGCCAGCAGCAGGTGGTGCTGTAGACACACCAGCCGCTCGCTCAACTGCCAGAGGGAGTGGTGAGTGGGGGAAAGGAGAGTACGAGAGGGATGAATGAGGGGGAAGCGGATGAGAGAGGTGGGTTGGATGGGAGGTGATGGGAGGGGTGGGTTGGATGGGAGGGGATGGGAGGGGTGGATTGGATGAGAGGGGATGGAAGGAGTGTGTTGGATGGGAGGGGATGGAAGGGGTGGGTTGGATGGAAGGGGATGGGAGGGGTTTTCTGGTTGGGAGGGGATGTGAGGGGTGGGTTGGATGGGATGGGAAACCAGTGGAGTATAACCAAGCGGCCAGACAACCCCCCTTCCTCTCATTCCCTTCCTCATCCCCCTCTCCTTCCCTCCCTCTCCTTCCGTTCCTCCACGCCCTCACCTTGCCCTTGTGGCACGAGAGCAGCAGGTACCGGTCCGCCTCTGGTTTCCATTGCAACAGACCGTTGCCACCGCCACCACCACCACCACCACCACCACCACTCTTGTTGCCGTTAGATGCAGCAGCAGACGCTGCCGCTGCCGCTGCCGCTGCTGCTGCTGCTGTGGTGCGCTTCTCGCTGAACAGACGCGTGGCGCCACAGTGACGCGCCAGCTGGCGGTTGCGAGTCTCTAGAGCCAATAGGAACGCAGGGATTCTGGAGCACGATGGTGAAGTGTGGGAGGGGAGCGGAGAGAGCATGGGAGAGGAAGGGGAATGCGGGTGGATGACATGTCAGGAAGTGTGAACGCTTCGAGTTTGACAATGATAGCTGAAACGTCAAGATGCCACGTGGCGTTACAGGCATGCAACATTGTTCGGGTGACTTATGTGAATCATGGAAAGAGGAAAATCGCCACGTGCCTCCCTATTATCACTCCACGCTCCCTGAGCACTTTCAGTACTCCCACCCTTTGACGTCTCCCACTTTCCCTCGTTCAACAATGCTCTCCCTGCTTACTGGTCCTTCGCACTCCCAGCTGCTTCAGTGTCTCCCGCATTCTCTGCATCCGTAGCAATGGTACTCGTGCTAGTCGGTAACCCTATTCGCAGCAGCTCGTTAACGTGCGATCCAGCTGCCTCTTCAGCCTCCGCCTCAGATTCCTCATTCCCAGAATCAGCTTCGGAACCTTCCGGGACATCGTCCGGGATTTCCGGAATCTCTGCAAGTTCCGGGATCTCCGGCGGCGCTTCTAACGGCTCTGATTCGTCCGAGCCGCTCGCCAGGGGACCCTCAGCTAACACAGGTAGTGTGTGCTTTGACGAGATGAGGGAGAATGAGAATAACAGAACGACACATAATCGCGCAGCTATTTTCATGTCTGAAGAACTTTGCACAGATAAGCGCGGAGAAAAGAAGATGCGTGCTTCATTAGACAGGAGATTCAGGCGTCAGCATGAGTAGTAGCTGTTTCTTCTGGGAGCTCAATCGAATTCGGTTGTCAACACGAGTGAATCTGACTGATACAGTGAGGGAAATTATGGAGGCAGGACGCGTTTCCATCCCACAAACATCAATAAATGGTTCACAGTACAGTAAACGGAAAAAAATGTAATGAAGATCTGCTGATATGGCAGATATAGATTTTCCAGTATGCAAGAAGTGCTTCTTCAATGTCAAAGACATGAGAAACTAGTGCAACTTATTTCATCCATAACATCCCGACCTGGTGGCGACACTATGGTTCTCTACAATCACAGAAAAAACAAGGAATATGATTTGCAAATATATTGCTTAATAAATCTTGCAGGTTTTATTTCAGAATGCAGCAGTAGGTGATTTGAGCATGTACGGTAAAGCTGGACAAGTAAGCACCATTCTATAGATCATTTTTTTCCAGGTGGTACAGGTGTAGTAGCGGTCGAATAAACGAATCGAAGCGTCAGTTTGACGTCAGGTTCCCGCGGGCCCCTCAGACTCCGCAGTCGCGCTGATTGGCGGAACAGCATCCTGTGCGCAGAGGGATCAGTGGTGCGCTCTGCGCGCGCTTCACTGCTTCCCCTTCCTCTGCCCTCTCCGCCCCCCTTTCTCCTTGGCTAGGTTCACCTAAAAAGGGGCGAAAAATGCTCAACTAGGACCTAGAAATTGCAACCCTGGGGGGTTATCTACTCGAGAATTCAGTGCAGACTTCCTTGATTCCTCGCTGGCGCTTCCCTCGAGCTTGTCGTAAACTCCACCTGCTTTTCCAGTCTCCGTCTGGCAAGATCTCGTATTTCCCCGTCAGGAGAGTAAATTGCAGCCACCTTAGTTAAGTCTGGCATTCTAGGGCTGGCCTCTGCGCCCTCTAATTCACCCGTTTCCGTTTCAGAGCCACGGGGAACCAAGATTTTGTCGACTGAGGCACTTAGTCGCCTTCTCGTGGAATAACTCAAGCGGTTAGGTTAAACAAAACTGCTTATCACCCCTTTGGAAGGCTTCTAATGGAGCAGCAGGAGCACGACGATATCAATGAGGGCATGGAGCAGCTAGCAATTCACGGTCCCTTGCCCATCGAGCAGCTAGAGGTAACACAAGAGGTCAATCGCGAGCCTTTTGATGGATCATATGTAGTGTACTAGTTATTACGAAGCCTCATGCGCATTTGAGTTCTTTTCTTTTCTGCAGCAATGCGGAATTTCTGCGACGGATGTGAAGAAGCTTCGTGAAGGAGGATTGTTCACCGTCGAAGCTGTAGCTTACACAAGTAGAAAAGACCTCCTCAAGATTAAAGGCATCAGCGAGGCAAAAGTCGACCGTCTGAACGAGGCAGGCAAGTTCCGCTCGTTGTGACATGACGCTTCTTCCCGTTCAGTACGTCTTTATGAAGTTTCGTGTCTCTTTTGCTTATGCAGCCAGTAAGCTGGTTCCGATGGGGTTCCAGAGTGCAACTCACGTGCATCAAATGAGAAGCAACGTCATTCATTTAACTACAGGATCGAAGGAGCTCGATGCTATCCTGCAAGGTAATTAACTTATGCAGTGGGATACAGCTGATGCGTGAAACATGGATTAGGTTACTGTGATGCCAGCCGTTCAAGACGTGACGATCTAAACGTTGGAAACTTTATTCTCAGGTGGTGTGGAGACAGGGTCCATAACGGAGATCTATGGCGAGTTTCGCACAGGAAAGACACAGCTTTGCCTCACATTGGCTGTCACTTGTCAAGTGAGTATTTATTTTTCCGTCTCAGTTGGGATGTGTGCGGTTCTCTCCAATCTTTTACTAACACTTTTACTGATTCTGCCTGCAGCTTCCAGTGGCCGATGGCGGAGGCGAGGGCAGGGCACTTTGGATTGACACGGAAGGAACATTCAGACCAGAGCGGTTGGAAGAAATTGCTCCGCGATATGGACTTATAACCTCTGAAGTACTTGACAATATAGCGTATGCACGAGCGTACAACACAGATCACCAGACGCAGCTGCTCATTGAGGCAGCATCCATGATGTCCGAGAGCAGGCAAGTGGCATTTGTTAGACGTTTTGATTTGGTTGTGGTGCTGTTAATTTTCGTGTATGTAGGTCCTTTTTGTGCTGACTATTATGCTGTGTGTATCATTGCTGCAGATTTTCGCTGATAATAGTTGACAGCGTCACAGGCCTCTACAGGACTGACTACTCAGGCAGAGGAGAATTGTCAGCGCGGCAGATGCATCTAGCTCGATTTTTGAGAACTCTGCAGCGGCTTGCAGATGAGGTAACATTTTTCCCCTCTTGTTGCCGCACCACTCCTGCTATCAGCCGTCATTATTGGAACTCACTGGAATGTTTATTTGTGACTGCCAGTTTTCTTGTGCAGTGGTGGTGACCAACCAAGTGGTGGCTTCTGTCGAAGGCAACATGTTTGCTGGCCCTCAAGTGAAACCCATTGGAGGCAACATTATGGCTCATTCATCCACAACAAGGTACCCAGTCTATCTGAGGGTGTTTTCCCTAACTGATGCTGTGACTGCGCTGACTCCTGGTGTGTTGCTTGATTCAGGCTTTCCGTGAGAAAGGGAAGGGCAGAGGAGAGAATTTGCAAGATTATTTGCTCACCTTGTCTGCCAGAGGCGGAGGCGAGATACTGCATTGCTGAAGAGGGGATTACTGACTGCAAAGATTGAGGGAGTGTGTTCTGTTTTGTGCTTCAGCATATTTACACGGATGCAAGTGCAATGAAGGTTGCACTTGCGTGTTTGGATAGCTGCACATTGTAATGCTATTTTATACAATTGCATTTAACCCTAAGGTTGCGCAATTCAGCCTAGGCTGGTTGCCAGTGTAAATGCGCACAATGCTTTTGCCATTTCCGCACTAACGAAGCCCGAACTTGCCACGTGTTCGTGAAGATGGAGCCACTGCGTGGAGATGTCACATGTGACAAGCCTCAAACTCGAACCAAAAATGCCAACAACCAGACAAATTTGCTGCTCCCCGAACCTGACGTGGTCCTGAGGAGGTTTGTGCTTGGCGCTTATCGAGGCTGACGTGCTGGTTCGTTTTGAAACTTCCGGTTCGGCTCGCGCAAGCCTGCTCGGCTGTTATTTTCTGTACAGTGCAGTACTTCACTTGCTACTGTACATTATTTCGTCTTTCTTACCTGTATAGGCACGGCACTAGGAACTACAAGTTCGTTGAGCGCTCTCCTTTTCAATGGGGAGTCTAGGATTTTCAGCCGAAAAGTGGTGTCTTGGACACTTCAGGGACTAGCAGGCTTGTCCTGCCATGCATTAGGTTTTCCGTCAGCTTGAGCTCAAGCCGGCAATGCCTTTTGAATTGAGGGCACTGAGGACTACGAGTCGCTGAACGCGCCAAGCCGTAGGCATTTCTGTTCGGTCTTATGTTGGGCAGCTAGCTTTTGCTGTTGCTGCGGTGAAGTATTAATAGGGACACGATGAAAGATACAGCTGTTGTCATTCGGTAATGTTGTCACCGTAAAGCACAAACCGTGCGCTGACGTAAACAGAAATATTTTTTCTAGAAGATGCCGAAGCCTCTGCTACGACACCCATCCAACCCTGTCCCAGACCAATGCCCCCGCGCTCCTCTTCCCGACTCCATACACGAGCTCGCATCGCGCGTCTTCGGTTCCGGAAAGTCCGGGAACAGGAAATTTCTAACCGCGCACAAGGGCACAAAGAATGCTGCGCGGAAAGGCCAGGATGAGGGGGGGACGGCGGGGCAGCGGTTCGTGGCGACGGCGGGGTTCGTGTCGATCGAGGCGGCGTCCGTGATGCAGCAGGCGCTGCGGCTGTGGTCCATGATGAGTCCCGTAGAGATCGAACGGCTCATGACCAGCCTCCAGGTGGGGCCTCGGATGATTAGCCTAAGTGAGTTCCTTGACGGGTACGCTTAAGGCCGCTCGTGCTTCAATCGAAGGCTTTACGCTAGACCTCGCGTGCTGGAGATAGTATGAAAGCGTTTAGTCGAAACTGCCCTGCTTCGCGTTTCGAGATGTCTCGAAACTGCCATGCGTCGCTGGTGTTAATGCCCCTTTCTTCGCGTGCTCTGCTCCCTTCCCCCATTCTTCCCCTCTCGTGCCACCCGTCCCATCTCCCTCGTCGCGCGTGTCCGTATGGCAGGACACGGCCCTCATTCTCTTCGTCTACCACGATCCCGTGCACCTCTGGACGCTCGCTGGTACGTGCCGTGCACCTGGTATGTGCGGGCTAGGCGGGCTGTTGCGGGTATGATTGCGTCTGATGCGAGTGTGATTGTTTCCGATGCGGATATGATTGCGTTCCATGCGGTGCAGTGGAGAGTCTGGAGAAAGCTGGCGGAGCGAGTGGCGGCGATGGGCATGAAGTGCGAGGAAACGCGTCTGCACAGAGTGACAGCCCTTTTTACACCCCCTCCCACTCCCCCTATCCCCCCATCCCCCCCCCTCTCCCCTCCCCCCAGGCCTGGAGCTGATGGAGAGTCTGGAGAAGCTGGCGGAGCGCATGGCGGCGATGGGCATGAAGTGCGAGGAGACGCGGCTGCACGTAGTGACGGCCCCTTTTTCACCCCCTCCCACTCCCCCTCACCCCGCCCATATCCCCCCAACCACCCACACCACCCGCCAGGGTTAGAGCTGATGGAGAGTCTGGAGAAGCTGGCGGAGCGGGTGGCGGCGATGGGCATGAAGTGCGAGGAGACGCGGCTGCACGGGCTGGCGTTCTATTTCAACGAGCTCCGCCACCCCGCCACCCAGTTCCCCGCCTTCCGCCTGCAGCCGGGGGAACAGGAGAGCCTCATGTGGTGCGCGGGGAAGAGTTTGGTAGGGGGAGGAAGGGCTCGTGTGGTGGGAGGGTGGGGGAGTGGGAAACGGGAAATTGAGCTTCATGTGCTGTGTCGAGGCATTTGAGAGCAGAGTGAGAGATCTGTCATCCTTTGCCGCTCTCTGCCGTCCCCTGCTCTCCCTGTTCTTCCAACCGCCGGTCTCCCTTCCCCCCTACCCCCCCTGTTCTCCCTTCCCTGTTCTTCCCTCTCCCACTCGCCTATGCTGTCGCAGCTACATACGGGAGCAGGTGGAGCGAGTGGAGGAGTGGTCTCCTCTTCGCTGTTGTGCACCTCGGCGGGACCAACCGCTGCTCTCCTCCCCCTTCCAACCCCCCACAACACCTCCCCGGAACCCCCTTCCCCCCCCCCCCCCCCCCCCCCCCTCCCCTACATCCCGCTTCTCTTACTCGCCTGTGCTGGTCCAGCTACATGCGGGAGCAGGTGGAGCGAGTGGAGGAGCTGCGGCAGTGCATGGAGCGGATCAACACTGTGCGCTCCAGCATCAAGTGAGTGCTCTTATAACGAGTCAGCCAGTGGTGCGCCTCCTCGAGTAGGCGGGCTTATGCACCTGGTGTGCTTCTGGATAAAGTGCGTGCTCTTGCATCAAATGAGAGCTCGTATGTCTCGTGAGTGGGTAGTGGGTTCCAGTTCATTGCTCACCATTACTTACTCAGTGTGTTGTGTCTCTTCCCAATTTGACTGACCAACCGGTCATCTCATCTCATTGCATGTCCTCCCCCTTCCCCCCACCATCATGGCGCACCACATCATGGGTTGCATGGCATATGATGGCATGGCACATCATGGCATGGCATATGATGGTATGGCACATGACGGCATGGCACATGATGGCATGGCACATGACGGCATGGCACATGATGGCATGGCACATGACGGCATGGCAGGAAGATGCAGGGGCTGGTGTCGCAGTCGTCTGCCTCCTCCAACCTGCTGGCGGAGCTCGAATCCGTTTCTGAGGACTACGAGCTCGACGACAACGACCCCCCACAGTGCGTGCTCCCATGCCTTCATGCCCCTCCTTGCTGCACATACCTTGCTCTGCCATGCCTTTGCATGTTCCCCACGCCTCTGCCTCCTCCAACCTGTTCCCTGAGCCCAACTCCCAGTTCTTCCGTGCCCCCCTCTCACCCAGACCCAGCAGTAGCAGCAAGGCCAGCAGCAACACAAGAAGCAGCGGCAGCAGCAGCAGCAGCGGCGGCAGTGGCAACAGCTCGCTGCTGCGGGAGATGAGTGACTCGTTTGATGATGCGGTGCTGGGGCAGCTGGGCATGGCCAGGACCAACCTGCCCTGCGACATCCCCGGAGGGGAGGAGATCTTCCGACTGGTCAGCTTGCTTCTACCTAGCCTCTTGTGCTCATAGCGAGTCTGTTTATAGCGAGTCTAAGCATGGCCAAGACCAACCTGCCCTGCAACATCCCTGGAGGGGAGGATATCTTCCGACTGGTTAGTTGCTGCTTGTAGCTAGCCTGCTGTGTTCAGAGCGAGTCTGACTGCAGCGAGTCTGTTTATAGCGAGTCCAATTGTAGAAATTGTGTTCTCTCTCTCGGAGATGCATTGACTCCCGAATTTCTTTATCAAGTCTACTCAAACCCCTCCACCTCCTCCCTACCCCCTTTTCCTCCCACCCTTCCCCACCTTCGCCTTCCTCTCCTCCCGTTCCACTCCTCCCCGCCATCGCTCGCTCTCTTTAATCTTGCAGATGACTCGGCTCACAGAGCTGCAGGCGAGGACGCTCTGGGCAGTGGAGCTGGACCACGTTGTCAGGGTGGGTGGGGCGAGGGCGTATGGGAGGAGGGCGGGTGGGAGGGGGCTGAATGGGAGTAGGGTAAGTGCGACTACAGTGACAGGGGGATACGGGTCAACATAACTGCAGGCGAGGGCCCTCTGGGCAGTGGAGCTGGACCGTGTTGTCAGGGTGGGTGGGGTGAGGGTGGGTGGGATGAGGCCCATGAGGGTGCGTGAGATGAGTACTGAAGAGACTGTAGTGACAGGGGGATACGGGTCAACATAACTGCAGGCGAGGGCCCTCTGGGCAGTGGAGGAGCTGGGCCGCGTTGTCAGGGTGGGTGGGGTGAGGGCGGGCCGCATGAGGGTGGGTGGGATCAGGGGTGGTTCGGATAAGGGTGGGCGGGATTATCTCGAGAAGGACTTGAGTGTGTCAGTGAATTTTCACAGGGGTGATTGTAGCAAAAGATCTCAACCTCCCCTCCCCCATCCCTCCCTCGCCCACACACGCCACCAGATCCTCTTGTTAACCATCTTCATGATCGGGACCGTGTGCTCTCCGTGTTCGGCATTGGCGCCCACTCCGAAGAGAGCATGTCGGAGAACTCTCTCTCTCCCCTTCCTCCACCAAACCTGTTTTTGAGTCGGCTCATAAACGTGTGCTCTCCATGTTTGGCATCGATGCCCACTCCGAAGAGAGCCTGTCGGAGAGCTCTCTCTCTCCGCTTCCTCCCCCAAACCTTTCCCCTTCCTCCCCCCCCTCTCACGCCTTCCCTCCCACTGTAGATCCTCGTGTTAACCATCTTCATGATCCGGGACCGTGTGCTCTCCGTGTTTGGCATCGATGCCCACTCCGAGGAGAGCGTGTCGGAGAACGAGACGCTGGGGTCGGCAGGCCTGGCGCTGCGCTATGCGCGCATCATCCTGCTCGCGGAGAAGCTCATGAAGTACCCCTTCATGGCCGCTGGCGGCACCAGGTAACGCCTCTCCTCCCTCCCTTATGCGGCATGGTCTGGGGCCGGCCTGGCACTGCCTGATGCATCATCCTGTGCTCGCGGAGAAGCTCATGAAGCACCCCTTCATGGCGACCGGCAGTACCAGGTACATTCTTCTTCTGTCTTTGTCCGTCTCTGGCTGGCTGTGGGGCATGGAGGTAGTAAGGGATGTGCGGTAGTGCATATGTGGGCCATCATCAGCAACTTGGCGCTGCGCTATGCCTTTCGAGAATTCTCAAAAGTCATTCCAACTTGGCGCTGCACTATGCGCGCATCATCCTGCCTGCTCGCAGAGAAGCTCATGAAATACCCCTTCTCCTCTTAAGAGATTGAAACCCCCCCCGCCCTCTGCCCCCACTCCCCTCTCTCACTGCCTCCCGTCTCGTCTCCCCTTCCCTCCCTCCAGGGACGAGCTGTTTGGCATGCTGACGAACGATATGCGCACCATCCTAGCAGGCCATTGTCTGGTTTACTGAACATTCATTTCCTCGTCGCCCCTCTTCCTTCCACACCCCTCTCCCCCCTCCCTCCTCCCAGGGACGAGCTGTTTGGCATGCTGACGAACGACACGCGCACCATCCTAGCAGGCCACCTTCTGAGTAGAGAGAATATACCCTCCCTTCCCTCTACCCCTCTCACTGCCTCCCTACTCCCTGTCCCCCTTGCCCCCCACCAGGGACGAGTTGTTTGGCATGCTGACCAACGACATGCGCACCATCCTAGCCGGCCGCCTGGTCCTCCCAACCCCTCTCCCTGCCTCAAACTCCACCCGCCCCCTCGCTACCCACACAGGGACGAGCTGTTTGGCATGCTGACCAACGACGTGCGCACCATCCTAGCAGGCCACCTCAACCTTCCAATCCAACCCCCCTCCCTGCCCCAAAACCCATCACACACCCACCCTTCCCCCCCCCCCCCCCCCCCCCCCCCCCCTCCCCACTCCCCCCCTCGCTACCCACACAGGGACGAGCTGTTTGGCATGCTGACGAACGATATGCGCACCATCCTAGCAGGCCGCCTGGTCCCAGTCATGAAGGAGGAGCAGCAGAAGCGCGAGCAGGAGGAGGAGGCTCGGCGCCGAGCCGGCCTCCCCCGAGCCGCCTCCTCAGACTCGGACGAAGATGAGGACGGATTCGTGTGGCTCGGGAACAAGGGGGGAGCAGCGGGAGGAGGGGGCGCAGCAGGGAAGGGCGGAGGGCAGGCAGGGAAGGGAGGGAAGGACGGAGAAGACGAGGAGGAGGCGGAAGCACCGTGGGAGCGGAAGCTCAAGTGGGGAATGGAGTTTCTACCCACACTCGCTCGCAACACCATCACCTTTTCGGAGCTCAATTCCATCCGGAAAACGTCTGTCACATCAAGCAACCACGTGCTGAGAGTTCAAACGCTCTTCCACGCGCAAAAGGACGCCGTCAGTGCCACCCTAATCGACTCCTTAGAAGGCCTCTCGCTCCTCGTCGCATCTGATCCGTCCAATACCACGCAGATCCGGTCGAAGAAAGCCGCTGCGCTGGCGGCTGCAAGGGCAGAGAAAGCGCAGGCGAAGTCGGGCGAACCGCGGCAAGTGCTTGTAACGGGGATATTTAAAGCGAAGCGGACGACGAGTTGCAGCCCCACGGACGGGATTGGCAGCTCGCCTCTGCTGCTCTCCCAGTCGTCTCTGTCCTCCTCCCTCCTCTCCTCTTCCTCCTCCTCTGTTGCCCCCTCTGCATCTCCATTTAGGTCATCTTCTGCCTCTGCTGCTGTCCTGGCTGCTGCTATGGGTGGGGATGGGAGGGACTCAGCTGCTGCTGCTCTCCGGGCTATACGGGGGGGAGGGGGAGGAGGCGGAGGGGGAGGAGGCGGAGGGGGAGGAGGGGGGAAAGGAGGGGGCGTTGTGAAACTGCCGTTTGTTAAGGGAGGCAAGCAGGCGGGCGCTAAGGGTGCTGCTGCAGCGCCTGCTGTAAAAGCTGCTGGTGGTGCGGCTGGCATGGGGAAGGTTCCAGGAAAAGTGAAGCCACTGTGGGAAGAGGATACAGACGAGCAAGACCTTGTGAGATCGGTGCTGTCGACGTGCCAGGAGGAGAGAGGTGCGGGCGAGAAGGGAGCGGCGGGGAGAAGAGAGCAGGTGTGGGCGAGAGAGACAGGAGGCAGGATGATGCTGCGTGGGGGGTCGGAGAAAGAGCGGAAAGGAAAACCGGTGAAGCCCTTATGGGAAGAGGATACAGACGATGAGGATTTAGTCAGGTCTGTGACTCTACCTGCGAGGAAGGACGGGGTTGGGAGCAAGGGAGGGCAGGAGGGGGCCGGGGAGGACGGAGGGAAGAAGAAAATGCTCTGGGAGGAAGATTCCGACGATGAGTCGCTGGTTCGCGCGGTAACCGCATCTGCTACCACCGTCGCTGCAGCTGTTACAGCTGCTGGCGTGGGCCGAGGGACTGGGGGGCCTGCACGTGCTAGAGGTGCAGGTGTGGGCGGTAGAGGTTCTAGTGTGGGGGGTAGAGGGGTTGGAGGGGGAGGGAGAGGGGCAGGTGGAGGGCAGAAGAAGGTGCAGCCTCTGTGGGAGGAAGATTCTGATGATGAGAGTCTGGTTCGTGCTGTCACTGCTGCTTCTGCTGCCCCTGCTGGTGGCGGTGCTGTGGGCAATGCTGCTGCGGGGCCCAATGTTGGCGGCTCGCGCTCGTCGGTGCAACCGGTGACGCCGCGAGGAGCTCGCATGCAGCGATTGGACGCGGCGAAATGGGCAGATGAGCGAGGAGGGCGGGAAGGGCGAGAGGGGCGAGAGGGGGGGGAGCGGGGAGATGGGCGGGACGGAAGAGAGGGACGAGATGGGGGGGACAGGCGAGACGTTCGCATGCAGCGGCTGGATGCAGCGAAATGGGCGGACGGGCGAGAGGGGGGCGGTGGGGCCGGTGGGCGGGAGAGGAGGGACGGGCCTGACGGGCAGGAAAGGCGAGACGCTCGCATGCAGCGATTGGACGCGGCGAAATGGGCAGACGGACGAGACGGAAGAGATGGGAGAGATGGGAGAGATAGGCAAGAGGGGAAAGCAAGTGGAAGAGGGGGAGGGGGAGGGGGAGGGGGAGGGGGAGGGGGAGGGGGAGGGGGAGGAGCAACGGGAGGGATAGGAGGAGCAAAGCCTCGGCCGTTGTGGGAGGAGAATGCGGAGGACGAGGACATGGTGAGGGCCGTTGCTGTGCCCACCCCCCCCCGCTCTGCCACCCCCCCTCCCCGCTCTGCCACCCCCCCTCCCCGCTCTGCCACCCCCCCCTCCCCGCTCTGCCACCCCCCCTCCTATGGTACCAATAGCCTCTGGTCGAGGAGCGGGAGGGCGGGCGGACGCGGTAATGGGAGGGAGGGTGGAGGAGAGGGCAGGTAGGAGGGTGGAAGGGAGAGGTGCGGGAAAGGATGGGAGGAGGGAAGAGGGGGCGGAGGAGGGGATGGAAGGAGGGGTGGAGGTTGGGAGAAAGGGAAGAGCGGAATATATGCGTTTGGCAGAAGAGGGAGAGGGTTGGGAGGAAGGGGAGGAGGAGTGGGATGAGGAAGAGGAATGGGAGGAGGGAGAGGAGGAATGGGAAGGAGAAGAGGGAGAGGAGGAATGGGAAGGGGAAGAGGAAGAGGAGGAACGTAATGAGGCGGCTGTGAGGGCCGGGCAGGTGAGCAGAAAAGAGGGCATGGGCGGGGTCAAGCAGCAACCGGTGCAGGATGAATGGCAGCGGCAGCAAGCGGAGCAGGAGGCGTGGGAGCAGGAGCAACTGCAGCAGGAGAAGTGGGAGCAGGAGGAGTATCAAAGGGGACAGCAGCAGAGGCAGGTGCAGAAGCCAAAGCAGCAAGTGACCTGGAACCAGCCTCACTCACAGGAGGAGGGTGAGGAGGAATATGAGGGAGAGGAGTACGAAGGAGATGAGGAGGAGTACGCCGAGGAGGAAGAAGAGGAAGAGGAAGAGCCGGTGGTCCCTGTGAGAGCCATGGCCCGCGCAGCCACCGCACCCACATCTCGCCTTGATAAAATATCCAAGTCAGCGGGTGCTGATGCTGGGGGGAAGAAGAAGAGCGGGAAGAAAGCTGCTCTACATCGGGTGGCGTCTGAATCTACCACTTCTGACCTCTATGCACCCAGCCAAAATGCACGGGGAGCAGGGGGACTTGCTCCTGGTCTGTATCAGGGGCCTCAGAAGTCGCCTGGTGTGGGGCGGCAGCAGCGGCAGATGCATGTGCATTGGGACGAGAGCGTGGGCGCTGGTCGAGGGGAGCGAGGAGAGAGAGGGGAGAGATGGGAGGGAGAAGCGGAGGAGGGGCAGTGGCTGGGTGCGGGTTCCGCGTCGGAATCGGCTGCTTCGGGAAAGGAAGGGAAGAAGGGGAAAGGTGCGAAGAAAGGGACCCAGCAGGGGAATGCAGATGGGGAGAAGGGTGAGAGGGCAGCAGGAGAGGGAGGAACAGGAAAGAAGAAGCAAACCGGGGAAGCAAAGAAGGCTGGGAAGAAGGTTTCAAAGAAGGGTGTAGCGCAGCAGGGGGGTGGGGGAGCGGAGGAGGAGGAGGATGGGCTAGGAAGGACCGTGAGTGCAGCTTCTTCCGCCTCCCGCTCTTCCTCTGGTACATCATCCTCGTCTGCTAAGGTTGAGAGGCGGAAATCGGGGGAGATGGAGGGCGGGAAGAAGAGTGGGAAGAAGGCAGGGCAGACCCCCCAGCCTCAGGTGGCAGTGTGGGAAGGGGACGAGGAGGAGGAGGGGTTGGTTAGGGCTGGATCTTCTGCGGGTGCTGCTGCTGGTGGTGTTGGGGGGAAGGAGAAGTCAGGTAAGAAGAAGGAGAGAGAGGCGAAGAAGAAGCAGCAGGAGCTGCAAGAGCAGCAGGAGCGGCAGGAGCGGCAGCGGCAGCAGGAGTTGCAGGAGCAGTTGCAGCGGCAGCTGCAGCAGGAGAAGCGGCAGCGAGAGGAGGAGGAGGCAGAGGAGGAGCGGCAATGGCAGCTGCAGCAGCAGCAGCAGGAGCAGGAGAGGCGAAGAGCAGCATCAGCCAGTAGGAAGGGTCGAGCAGGGGCAGGGAACACAGCCCGTGTGTCTTCTCCTGCTGCCTCTGCTTCCCGCTCGTCCCACTCCCCTTCCCCCTCCTCTCGCACTGCCAACACCAGCACTCGCCCCCAGGCAAGCCACTATGCAGGCCCGCAAGAAAGGTACGAGGAAGAGGAGGAGGAGGAGGAGGAGGAAGAAGAGGAGGAGGAGGAGGATGAGGAGGAAGAAGAGTATGAAGAGGAGGTGGAGAGTGAGAGGTACAGAGGGCGGATGGAGGAAGGGAGTATAGATTTCGATGCCTCTCACCAGGAACTCGCGTTTGGGGCGGGGCAAGGAAGGCAGGAGCAGAGAGGGGTGGTGGGGGGAGGCAGTTTGGACTTTGATGCTCCCCAACACGAGCTGCCCTCTCCCTCTCAAATGCCATCCGGAGGGCTGTTTGCTGCACGGCAGCAACAGTGGCAGCAGCAGCAGCAGCAGCAGCAGCAGAAGCAGAAGCAACAGCAGCAGGCAGCAGTGCCGGCATCACGAAATCAGTACTACGATGATGATGAGGATGAATACGCAGGTAACGCACACAATCAGTATGGTGGCCCTGCTGATAGCAGGGACGGCGGCAGGGGCGGATGGAACCAGGAATATGAATACGAAGAGAAGGAGGAAGTTTTGAAGGGAGAGGATGAGGAGTGGGACGAGGAGGCCGAAGAGGAACTGTACAACCAAGGAGCAGGCAGAGAAGCAACAGGAGCAGGTGGTGCCATTACGTCTCTATCTCCCTCCGCTGCTGCCTTCTACCTCGCTACAACCTCCTCCTTCGCCCACGAAGACCCAGTTGACTCCTCCCCCCCAGACACCTCCTCTGGCTTCCCCCCTCCAAAGCCATCCCCCCGGCAAGCCCCTCGCTCACCCACCTCTGCTTACGCCGCACCTCCCTCTTCCTCTCTAACCGACGCTGCTCCTGCTGCTGCTGGTGCTGGAGCTGGGAAGAAAGAGCGGTCAAAGTCCCCTTTGGCTCGGCTGAAGCGCTCCCTCTCCCCTCTCTCTCGCAGGCATGCCTCTCCTGGTAAATCAGGATCAGCAGGTAATAGCACTGCTGCAGCTGCAGCTGCTGCAGTGGCTGCTGCCGGTGGTAGCAGCATGGGTTCTTTCTCGGAGCTGCAATCTCAACCGAGCCTGTCGTCAGGCTCGATCAGCAGCTCGCCGAGCCAGTCCATGGATCGGCAGTCCCCGAGCCTGATGATGCTGGATCGGGTCTCCCCAACCAACTCAATGGAGAGGCGGAACCCGCAGGAGCGGGGTGGGCTGGATCGGGACCGAGGGTCAATGGAACGAACCTCCATGGATAGACGATTGTTCGACCGCCACTCGTCCTCTCCTTCCCATGACCGGATCTGGGGTCAACAACAGCAGCAGCAGGCGGAGGGGTCTGCTTCACCTGACCTTTCTGCTTCTCCTGACGTTCATGCCGATGGTAGGTCTATTGGAAGGGAGGGTGGCTCGAGCTTCCGATCCTCCCTTGCTGCTGTGCTGATGTCGCCTCCGATCCTGCGCGGCAGCGCCGGGGGCAGCGCCTTCCCAACCTCCAGCTCAGCCTCGGAAGCGTCGCCCCGGCACCAGCACAAGGGCGGGAAAGTCCTCCCGAACCTGCTCCGGCTGAACCTGAAAAAGGACAAGGGAGAGGGGCGGGATAGCCAACCGGGCACCCCACCCTCCCCACTGCTAGAGCATGTTCTGAAAGGCTATCCGATGAGTAACTTTGATGGAATCCCACGGGGTTTGTCGGAGGATTCATCTGTTCAAAGGTATGTGAGGGGCGGGGAGGGGAGTGAAGGCAGCAGCAGCGGGCGGATGAGTGGGGAGGATACGAGAGAGTGGGAGGAGGGCAGGAGGGGATTCGATGCGAGGGGGAGTAACAGGGAAAGGGTAGAATTTTCAGGGGAGGCTATTCGCAAAACGGGCTCGTATGAGAGGGGGGGGGCAAGGAGTGAGGAATCAGGGGTGGGTGCCAGGGGTGGGATTCGATCTCCGATCCTCAAGCCAGCTTCGACTGAAGAAGAGGCGTTTTTTGAGCGGGCAAGGCAGGAGGAGGAGCGACTAGCACGAGAGAGGGGGGGCAGTGGTGGTGGTAGTGGAGGGGGAGGGGGGGAAGCAGGGGGGGTGAATGATTCTTGGTCAAGGGACGAAGACACAACAGCACCGGCTTTAAGCCCTCTGAAATATGCTCCAAGTGCCTTCAGTAGGAGGATCAGAGGGAGGGGGAGGGGAGGGATTGGGGGGAGAGGGGCGCCTCCTCTCTCTCCTGTTGGTTCTGCTGCTGCTGGTGCTGGGGCTGGTGCTGGGGCTGGTTTAGCATCCACCATCAGCAGTGCCAGCAGTAGCAGCACCGGCACCAGCAGCAGTGGCACAGACACCAGCGGAAGCAGCAGCAGCAGCAGCAGTATTGGCTTAGGCAGCAGCAGTGTTAGCGCCGCTGGGGGAGAGATGGCTGGGGGGTACGGGGATGGGAATGTGGGAGGGATAGGAGGAGTGGGGGCGGGTGGTGGGGTGGGGAGAGGAGGGTTCGGCGGAGGGCGTGGGAGGATGAACAGCAGGAGGCGTAGCATTGTGAATGCGAGGCTTCATGCCCAGAGGGAGGGGGGCGGGGCGGGAGGGAATGGGGAGGGAGGGGAGGGGGAAGGTGAGAAGCCTGAATTTGAGTTTCAGGGTATGGGGGGGAGAAGAGCAGTGAGGAAAGCTCCTCCGATTGCAGAGGGGGGGGAAGGGGGGAGGAAGGGAGAGGAGAGTGAGGAGGAAGAGGACGAGGAGGGCGTGTGGCAGAGAAACGATCCAATTCAAGCGTTTTGAGACAGAATGGTGCAGTCCAGTGTAGACGTTGTGAGGTAATGAATTACACATCTGAAGTTATTTATATCAAGTAGCAAAAGAAGTGTGGTTTGTGGAGATGGAGTGATTCGCAGCGGCGGAGTAACCTTAGGCTCGTGCTTCGGAATAATATTGCAGCAGCAAGAGTTCTTCGGTCCTGAACGAGGCTGAAACGCATGTTGGCCTGGATGAACGTTTGTTGTAGATTTGTGTGGGAAGCAGGGATTGCTGGTGGTGGTTTCTTAGCAAGGGCAACTGAGTTGGGAGTTGGAGGTTCCCTGGCAGCTCAGTCATAGAATCTCTGCCAGGGAGCATTTGTAAAGCTGGTTCCTCTATTGAGATCCCCTTTTGTCATGTAACCTGGTTTTAGCCTTCAAAGATGCAAAGATAGTACACGCATGTCAAGTTTTTCATTGGCTCGCATGCAACTCTAAGTTCACCCAATTCCCAAGGTGCCCTACCATAGGAGTCAAACCATTTCCAAGGGCGACAGCCATATCCTATTCAGTTCAGGGATTAACAATTTTAATTTGTATCGAGTATAACGCTGGAGAACAAATTATCAGTAGCACCACCCTCGGGCTTCTCATTTTCAAGTTAGCCATTCCGCGGCAATCCCAGGTTTGCTGATTACACATCAGCTGAGTGTCGGCATTTCCAAGGCCGAGCTGCGATTGCGATTCGCAGGCACGGGTCGCTGCTTGCCACGTGGGAAGTCGAAGGGGTTCCCGTTGGAATAGTTAACTTCTTTATCCGGCGGCCCAAGCTACCCTTTTTGCTGCTGCCACGTCAGCGCTGAAAAATGGCTACGATGACGTCAGCCCACAGAGGCCTTACTGCGCTTCCTACCGCGCAACCCGGTGAAGCCTCTCGTTGTCCACGTGTCGTTTCAGCCGCATTTTGCGGTGCGAAGAAGATTAAGTCCGCTTCGTCGAGTCTGGTAGGGCAGCCGCTTTCAGTGGCTGTTTCCCGCACTCGCAGCGGCCACAGACGAGGCGGTGCGTTGGCGACAACGTGCTCGTCGCAGAGCGTTTCGGAGAAGTTCGCAGAGCTTCGCGCGAAGAATGAAGTGAGTAGACAGTTTCGCATTGTGACGAGGGTTTCGGGTATAATCACCTCGCATTACCAGAACAATCAGCTTGACCGCCTCAATCGCAATTGGCCGTTTCGATAATAACGCCGTATGAATTGTTTCGAACTTCTAGGTTGGATTTAATCGTTTTTGGCCATCACACGAGGTGCCATCCGGCGATATGTTGGACTCAGCGCGCATTGAGCCTTTAACTCCAAACCTATTCTTTCTCCAACTCCTTCCTGTCCACCTCTCTGTCCCCCATTCCATCGTTCCTCCATTCCCCTGCTTCCCCCCTCCCCTGCATTTCACCCCCCCTTGATTGCAATGCGAGAGCCCACTCTCCTACCTCCTTCCTCCCCTTCGCACCAATCCCCTTACCCGACGCGTCCCCGTGCCAATCGCCGGCCGCAGGTGGCGCTTATCTCCTTCATAGTCGCGGGGGACCCCGCTGTAAGCACCACGGAGCGCATTGGTCGTACCAGCCCCTCAGCCCGCACTTTCTGTTCACCCGCTTCCCCGCAGGTGGCGCTTATCCCCTTTATAGTCGCGGGGGACCCCGATCTGGGCACCACGGAGCGCGCGTTGAAGCTGCTGTGCGAAACGGGCGCTGACGTCATCGAGCTGGGCGTGCCCTACTCGGACCCGCTTGCTGACGGACCCGTTATCCAGGTACACTCCATCCCCGTTAATGGCAGCTTGCCTGGTAACTGTAACGCGGCATAAGTGTATCGGTATAGATTTCTAGCTGGCTCATGCTCATCGAAGAAGGGAATTTCAACAAAACCGTATTTTTATTGTGTGCGGTGGTAGTTTTAAAACGAAATGGCGACCTACCGAGTGTGATTATATGTGTGTGTTTGTTTAATTGTTTGTGCTTGTATGGCAGGCATCTGCCACCCGAGCCCTGGCAAGCCACACGGATCTGCAGTCAGTGATCGACCTTCTCAAACGGGTACGCTGCTGCTCCTCCCTGCCCCCCCTCTCTCCCGTTATCACGCTGTAAGGCGCCTCCAAAGGCGAACAGCACGGATCTGCAGTCAGTCATCGACCTTCTCAAACGGGTACGCCGCTGCTCCTCCCTCTCAACGTCAACCCTTTCTTCTTTTGGAGTTCTGAGGCGCCTCAAAACGCGAGCTACACGGATCTGCAGTCACTCATCGCCCTTCTCAAACGGGTACGCCGCTGCTCCTCCCTCTCAACCTACCTCCCACCCCCCACTTCCCCCCCTTAACAACCTCCCCGTTTCCTTCCTTGTCCGACTCAGCCATTCCCCCCAACATCTCACTCAGCCATTCCCCCCTCCATCTCACTCAGCCATTCCCCCCTCCATCTCACTCCGGCCATCTCCACATTCCCTTCTCCTCCTATTTTACTCTCGTCTATATAATCTGTCTGCCCCATTCTCTTCTCACCAGGCCACTTCTCATCTGCTGCACCTACCTCAAGGTGACTTTTGAGTCGACTCAAAAGTCGCCTCCTCCTATTTGACTCTCGTCTATATGATCTGTCTGCTCCATGCTCAACGGGCCACTTCTCATCTGCTGCACCTACCTCAAGCTATCATGAAACGTCCCGCCAACAAGCGGCTCCTTTTCCCACTGCCCCCCGACCCGATCGCCCTTCCCCGCCCCCAGCCCCAGGTCACCCCGTCCCTGAGCGCGCCCATTGTCCTATTCGCCTAACACAACCCCATCATGAAGCGCACAGTTAACAACTCTATGGGGGAAATTAAGGGCGTGGCTATCCCGCCCCTCAACCCCCTAACCCCCATCCTCTCTCCAGGTCACCCCGTCCCTGTGCGCGCCCGTAGTCCTCTTCACCTAGTACAACCCCATCACAAAGCGCGGTGCAGACACGTGCATGGGGAGATCAAGGGCAGAGCAGTCAATCCCCCTCTTCACTCCACTACTACCCCTCTCTCTCTCCGCATCGCCCCTTCCCTGAGCGCGCCCGTAGTCCTCTTCACCTACCACAACCCCATCATGAAACGCAGCGCTGAGGAGCTAACGGGGAACTTGAACCCGCCCCACACCCACCTTCTCTCCCCCCACCATCCTCCTCCCCCCCCGGCCCACTTACAGGTCACCCCCTCCCTGAGCGCGCCGATAGTCCTCTTCACGTACTACAACCCCATCATGAAGCGCGGAGTCGACAAGTTCATGGGGGAGATTAAAGCCGCCGGTGCGGCCGGCATTGTGGTGCCGGACGTGCCTCTGGAGGAGACCAAGGTGCTGCGGGAGGTTGCCACTGCAAACGGGCTCGAACTGGTGAGCAACTGGTGGTTGGTGATGGCATGTAGGAGTGTTGAGGCGTCTGGGAGCTCGAGTATGGTACTGGTATAGCAGCTGTCATGACGCATTGTGGTGCCGGACGTGCCTCTGGAGGAGACCAAGGTGCTGCGCGAGGTTGTGACGGCTAACGGGCTCGAACTGGTGAGCGTGGGGGATTATGTCTACGATGGATGAGAAGGAGTGGCAGGCAGGCACAGTGGTGCCAGGCGTGCATAGTGGTGCCAGGCGTGCATAGTGGTGCCAGGCGTGCATAGTGGTGCCAGGCGTGCATAGTGGTGCCAGGCGTGCATAGTGGTGCCAGGCGTGCATAGTGGTGCCAGGCGTGCATAGTGGTGCCAGGCGTGCATAGTGGTGCCAGGCGTGCATAGTGGTGCCAGGCGTGCATAGTGGAGCCAGGCGTGCATAGTGGTGCCAGGCGTGCATAGTGGTGCCAGGCGTGTCTCTCGAGGAGACCAAGGTGCTGCGGGAGGTTGCGACGGCTAACGGGCTCGAACTGGTGAGGAGACGTTTCCTTGTGACCAAGCTTTGAGAGATTTGGAATGCTTGCTGCTGGTCTAGCAGCAGGCAGGCATAGTGGTGCCGGACGTGCCTCTGGAGGAGACGGAGACCAAGGTGCTGCGAGAGGTTGCTACTGCAAACGGGCTTGAACTGGTGAGCACCTTCCATCCCTGATTGCTGCTGATGGAGCGTGTAGGCTCTCCATGCCTGCAGTGCGTGTTGATGGACTACCGGCACCGCGGCGGCCATACGAGTTGACTTTTGAGTCGACTCAAAAGTCAACTCATGCCTGCAGTGCTTGTTGATGGACTAGCGACTTTTGAGTCGACTCAAAAGTCACCTTGTCCACTTCCGCTGTCCACTTCCGCTGTCCACTTCCGCTGTCCACTTCCGCTGTCCACTTCCGCTGTCCACTTCCGCTGTCCACTTCCGCTGTCCACTTCCGCTGTCCACTTCCGCTGTCCACTTCCGCTGTCCACTTCCGCTGTCCACTTCCGCTGTCCACTTCCGCTGTCCACTTCCGCTGTCCACTTCCGCTGTCCACTTCCGCTGTCCACTTCCGCTGTCCACTTCCGCTGTCCACTTCCGCTGTCCACTTCCGCTGTCCACTTCCGCTGTCCACTTCCGCTGTCCACTTCCGATGGACTACCGGCACCGCGGCCGGCATCGTGGTGCCGGACATGCCTCTGGAGGAGACAAAGGTGCTGCGGGAGGTTGCTACTGCCAACGGGCTCGAACTGGTGAGCACGCGTCTCAGAGGGAACAACGAGGTGGAGAGATGAACTAGTAGCAGCACGCATAGTGGTGCCAGACGTGCATTTGGTCTTACTTTTGAGAATTCTCAAAAGTAAGACCAATATTGCCGGACGTGCATTTGGTTTACTTTTGAGAATTCTCAAAAGTAAGACCAGTATTGCCGGACGTGCATGTGGAGGAAAGGTTGCTGCGTGAGGTGAGCTGGTCATTGCTAACTGCCTCGCTCCTCTGCCCCCCTCTTTCCCCGCCTTCCCCTCTCTCCTCTCTCCCCACAGGTGCTGCTAACGACGCCCACCACCCCCACCGAGAGAATGGGAGCCATTGCTGACGTCACCCAGGGCTTCCTTTACCTTGTAAGCTTTACCAGAGGGAACAACGAGGTGGAGAGATGAACTAGTAGCAGCAGCCTTGCTGCCGTGCCTTCTCCCTTTGTCTCGAACCTTCTCCCTCCTCCTCTGCCTCTTCTCTCTTCTCCTCGCCTCTCTCCTCTCTTCCACCTATTGCCCTCCTGCATACCTTGTGATTTACTGCATTCAAGACACCAATCATATGCGCATGTGCACTTGTGTTTGTGCATGCATGCATGTGTGATTCGTGACTGTATCGCAGGTGAGTCTAACGGGAGTGACAGGCGAGCGGGCGGCAGTGCAGGGGCGGGTGGAGCAGCTACTAAAAGACATCAAGGCCACCACAGACAAGCCTGTCGCCGTTGGATTCGGCATCTCTGCGCCTGAGCACGCTGAGCAGGTGCGTGTGATAAGCAAATGAAGGAATGGAGTGGGTTGACTCAGCAGGCAGTGCAGGGGCGAGTGGAGCAGCTACTAAAGGACATCAAGGTCACCTGCCTCACAGACAAGCCAGTCACTGTGGGCTTTGGCATCTCTGCCCCTGAGCATGCTGAGCAGGTGTGTTTGACACATGGATAAGTTATTGGATTTGACTCAGCGGGCAGTGCAGCAGGGGCAGGTGAAGCAGCTACTAAAGGACATCAAGGCTGCC